CAAGAATACTGGAAGACAATCCTCCTCGGAAAAGGAGGGATCGCCTAAGTAAGTAAGTAAGTAAGTAAGTAAGGTGGCACTGCCCTCCTGCCCATGCCCAACTGGGTATAGGCTTCACCTGTTTTATATCACCTCTGATGATATAATTCTCTCTCTTTCTTCTTTTGCCCAGGGAAGGATAATCCCGCTGCCTTGAGCAACCAGCACTCCCTTCTGCAAGGCACTGAGGCTGCACTTTGCTCCTTGCCTATCAAACAGACGTGCGGGGTGGTGTCACTCTTGGGACAGCGCTGTGCCAACAAGTCTTATCCTTCCCTGGCCTTGGGCATTTCCAGCCAAGGCAGGATTCCTCCTCCTGTATCTAATCTCGCCTCTATCTTCTCCTCTCACTCAGATTTCAGTTTGGGCAGATCAAGAAACCCATTCCACACGTTATTTGCAGATGCTCTAAATCAGCTTCCTTGGGAAGAGGCGGCTGAGGCCTCTTTTATCGAACTCCTTCAGCCCATGGAGTTCTCCAACGCACGCCTGCACCTGCACCTCTGTCTTCCTGGCATCTCACCTCTGGGATCCATCTGCTGCCTCCAGGATTATCAACCTGGCAAGGCTCCCTCGTGATGTTATGACTCACCGCTCCTCTCTCCTTTCCCCAATGCGAGGGCCTGTCAACATTGCTCAGGAATCCCACACCCTCTACAGTCAATCCCAGGACCGGACGGAGGTGGGGCATGGTGCTGTTGTCCCAGTACCTCTGGGTCTAAAACCATTCTAGGTTTTTTTAAAGGGGGTGGTGGTCCTACATGCCCTGGAATCAGCTCTTTGTTCTCAGCTCCTTTTGTAGGAAAGAATGAGCCGCAGACCTTCCAATGCATCGAAATTGCCCTTTTTATTGTGTCTGAACGGAATGCAGAGCAGCCACCCTTTGGCTGCAGAGGCCAAAGGAAGAGAAGTTTGAGGAAGCACACCGAGTCTCTCTCCTCAAGGCTGAATGCTCTGCCAGGCTTTTGCCTTCCACTGGGCAGGAACAAGTTGAACCCTAGATCTTTGTCACAAGGAAGAGCACCCTCCCTCCTCTCTCTATCCCAAAATAATCTCCTTTCAAGATTAATCTATTCATCTCATACCTGTACTCCAATTGCTTGACTATCCTCTTCCCTCATTGAAGTAGATCCTGCTCATATCCCTACTCACATTTCCACACCATATCTCTCTCTCCATTCCCTTCCTTCCTTCTAGAGTGAATCAAATAATCATAGTGTTGGAAGAGACCCCAAGTATGGAAACATATGGAAACACCCAATCAAAGCACCCCTGACAACCAGGGCATTTCCACTATTCCCGCCGACTCATCACTTAAGCATCCCCTTTCTGGACTCATATTCCTTGACTGCCCACTTCCTTCCTTTGAGAGTGAATCACAGAAGCCCAGAGTTTGAAGAGACCCCAAGGGCCATCCAGTCCTTCTGACATATGGAAACACCCAATCAAAGCTCCCCTGACAACCAGGGCATTTCCACTATTCCCTCCGACCCATCACTTAAGTATCCCCTTCCTAGACCCATATTCCTTGACTGCCCACTTCCCTCCTTTGAGAGTGAATCACAGAAGCCCAGAGTTTGAAGAGACCCCAAGGGCCATCCAGTCCAACCCCATCCTGCCATACAGGAAGACCCAATCAAAGCCCTGCCAATCAGTGGACCAAGCCCACCCTTCACCCACATTTACACACCGCTCCCCCTTTCCATCACTTGACTGACTCCTTCCTTTGAGAGTAAATCACAGAATCCTAGAGTTAGAAAAGACCCCAAAGGTCATCCAGTCCAAGCCCATTCTGCCATACAGGAAGACCCAATCAAAGCCTTGCCGACCAGTGGATCCATCTCACCCTTCACCCACATTTCCACACTTCCCTCCCTTCCATCACTTGACTGCCCCTTTGCCTCCTTTGAGAGTGGATCATAAAATCCTAAAGTTGGAAGAAACCCCAAGGGCCATCCAGTCCCCTTCCTAGACCCATATTCCTTGATTGCAACGGTCCCTTCATTGAGACTGGATCATTGAATCCCAGAGTTGGCAGAGAGACCAAGAGCCACCCAGTCCAACCCCATCCTGCCATAAAAGAAGACCCAATCAAAGCCCTGCCAATCCAGCCCACCCTTTCCCCACATTTCCACACTTCTCTCCCTTCCATCACTTGACTGCACCTTTGCTTCCTTTGAGAGTGGATCAGAGAAACCTAGAACTGGAAGAGACCCCAAGAGCCATCTAGCCTTCTTCCTAGACCTTTATTCCTTGTCTGCCCCTTCCCTCCTGAGAGTGAATAACTGAATCCAAGAGTTACAAGAGACCCCAAGGCCAGCCAGTCCGATCCTATCCTTTGATATCATATCCTATCCAGCTTACTCTTTATCCACATTTCCGCACTTCCTCCCTTCCATCACTTGACTGCCACCTTCCTTCCTTTGAGAGTGGATCAGAGAAACCTGGTTGGAAGAGACCCCAAGGGCCATTCAGTCCCATTTCTAGACTCATATTCCTTGACTGCCCCCTTCCCTCCTTTGAGAGTAAATAATTGAATCTCAGAGTTGGAAGAGATCCTCCAAGGGCCACCCATTCCCCTTCGTAGACCTTAATACCTTCCCTCCTTTGTGAAGGAATCACAGAACCCTAGAGTTGCAGGAGACCCCAAGACCCACCCAGTCCAAGTCCATCCTGCCATACAGGAAGACCCAATAAAAGCCCTGTTGACCAGTGGATCCAGCCCACCCTTTACCCACATTTCCACACTTCCACCCCTTCTATCACTTGACTGTCCCCTTCCTTCCTTCGAGAGTGGATCACAGAATCCTAGCGTTGGAAGAGACCCTCAAGGGCCACCCAATCCCCTTCCCAGACCCTCATTCCTTCCCTCCTTTGCGAGGGAATCATAGAATCCTAGAATTGGAAGAGACCCCAAGGGCCACCCAGTCCCCTTCCTAGACCCATATTCCTTGATTGCAACTGTCCCTCTATTGAGACTGGATCACTGAATCCCAGAGTTGGGAGAGACCCCAAGGGCCACTCAGTCTAACCCGTCCTGCAATAAAAGAAGACCCAATCAAAGCCCTGCTGACCAGTGGATCCATCTCACCCTTTACCCACATTGCCACACTTCCCTCCCTTCCATCACTTGACTGCCCTCCTTCAAGAGAGGAACATAGACACCTAGAGTTGGAAGAGACCCCAAGGGCCACCCAATCCCCTTCCTAGACCCTCATTCCTTCTCTCTTTTGTGAGGGAATCATAGGATCCTAGAGTTGGAAGAGACCCCAAGGACCACCCATTCTCCTTTCTAGACCCTCATTCCTTCCCTCTTTTGCGAGGGAATCATAGAATTCTAGAGTTTGAAGTGACCCCAAGGGCCACCCAGTCCAACCCCATCCTGTTGTATAAGAAGACCCAATCAAAGCTCTTCTGACCACCCTTCATCCACATTTCCACGCTTCCATCACTTGACTGCCCCTTTGCCTCCTTTGAGAGTGGATCATAGAATCCTAGAGTTGGAAGACAAGGGCCAGCCATTCCCCTTCCTAGAACCTCATTCCTTCCCTCTTTTCCGAGGGAATCATAGGATCCTAGAGTTGGAAGAGACCCCAAGGACCACCCAATACCCTTCCCAGACCCTCATTCCTTCCCTCTTTTGCGAGAGAATCATAGGATCCTAGAGTTGGAAGAGACCCCAAGGGCCACCCAATCCCCTTCCTAAATTCTTATTCCTTCCCTCCTTTGTGAGGGAATAATAGACTCCTAGAGTTTGAAGAGACCCCAAGGGCCACCTAGTCCAACCCATCTTGTTATATAAGAAGACTCAATCAAAGCTCTTCTGACCACCCTTCATCCACATTTCCACACTTCCTTCCATCACTTGACTGCCCCTTTGCCTCCTTTGAGAATGGATCATAGGATCCTACAGTTGGAAGAGACCCCAAGGGACACCCAATCCTCTTCCTAGACCCTCATTCCTTCCTTCCTTCGTGAGGGAATCATAGGATCCAAGAGTTCGAAGAGACCCCAAGGGCCACCCAGTCACCTTCCGAAACCCTCATTCCTTCCCTCCTTTGAGAGTGGATCAAAGAATCCTAGAGTTGGAAGAGACCCCCATGGGCCACCCAATCCCCTTCCTAGACCCTCATTCCTTCCCTCCTTTGAGATCGGATCAAAGAATCCTAGAGTTTGAAGACACCCCAAGGGCCACCCATTCCCCTTCCTAGACCCTCATTCCTTTCCTCCTTTGTGAGTGGATCAAAGAATCCTAGAGTTTGAAGACACCCCAAGGGCCACCCATTCCCCTTCCTAGACCCTCATTCCTTTCCTCCTTTGTGAGTGGATCAAAGAATCCTAGAGTTGGAGGAGACCCCCAAGGGCCACCCATTCCCCTTCCTAGACCCTCATTCCTTCCCTTCTTTGTGAGGGAATCATAGGATCCTAGAGTTGGAAGAGACCCCAAGGACCACCCATTCCCCTTCCTAGACCCTCATTCCTTCCCTTCTTTGTGAGGGAATCATAGGATCCTAGAGTTGGAAGAGACCCCAAGGGCCACCCAATCCCCCTCCTAGACTCTCATTCCTTCCCTTTGAGAATGGATCATAGGATCCTACAGTTGGAAGAGACCCCAAGGGACACCCAATCCTCTTCCTAGACCCTCATTCCTTCCTTCCTTCGTGAGGGAATCATAGGATCCAAGAGTTCGAAGAGACCCCAAGGGCCACCCAGTCACCTTCCTAGACCCTCATTCCTTCCCTCCTTTGAGATCGGATCAAAGAATCCTAGAGTTTGAAGACACCCCAAGGGCCACCCATTCCCCTTCCTAGACCCTCATTCCTTTCCTCCTTTGTGAGTGGATCAAAGAATCCTAGAGTTGGAAGAGACCCCAAGGGCCACCCTGCCATTGCAGGAGGACCCGATCCAATCCCTCTGGACAGATGCCCTCCCTCCGCCTCTTCCCCCCACGTGGGGCTCACCTCCTCCGTTCTTGTAGCACAGGTAAGGGAAGCGCCAGACGTTGCCCAGCCCCACGGCGAAGCCCACGCAGGACATGATGAAGTCCATCTGCCGGGTCCAGGTCTCCCTCTGCGGGGGCGGCAGGGCCAAGGGGGGCGGCAGGGGATGGGGCTCCAGGGGCTCCCCTTTGCCGGCTCCCTGGCACATCACGGCCACGGTGGCAGAAGCGGTGGGGCCCCCCGACTTCTTGTCGAGTTGGTCGCCGGAGGAGACGCTGTAGATGCCTCCTCCTCCTCCTCCTCCCCCTCCTCCTTCCGAAGAAGCCCCTTTCGCCATCGCTCCGGGGGGAGCCCCGGAGTCTCGGCCGCCCCCCTCCAGGCGGATCGGGGCGAAGCGAAGGCGGCTTGGAAAGAGGGAGGAATTGGGGGGGGGATCTCTGTAGTCGTGGGTCTGGGTCTGGCCTGGGGGAGGGAGGTGAGGGGAAGGAAGGAAGGGTCTGTCCGCGGGAGCACACGGGGGAGGGAGGGGGGGGATCAGAAGCAATCCACGAAGCACTTGAAGGTCAACCTGAAAAACCTCATGTGGTCAATGGGCGCGGGGAGGGGGAAAGGCGGCTGTGGGAGGGCGGCGGCGGAGGGGCTGCTGCTGCTGCCGAGAGAGAGAAACGGAGGGGGGGGAGGACCCCCACAGGAGCCCACCCGGAGGGGAAGAAGGATGGGAGCGGGGAGAAAAGGGAGCCCTTCCCGTCCGCGGCGAGGCTGCCTCTCCTTGGGACGCTTCTGTGCCTACCGCTGCCTCTGCTTCTGCCTCTTCTGCTGCTGAAGCGCCGCCCCTTCGTGACGTCAGCGCCCCTCCTCGCTCTCCCCCTCCCCTTCCCTCCCCTTCACGCTCCGGCACCGCAAGGAGGAGAGAGAGGGAAGCCCGCCCCGCCTGGAGAGGGAGGTCCTTCCCTCCCCTCCTTCCCTCCGTCCCTTTGCACCTGTTCCCTCCTCCACTCCTGCTCCTCCATCGCTCTGCCATGATGCCCTTTGCAATGCAGACGCTTCTGGCTCCCTCTTGGGTGATTCTTTCCTCCTTCCTTCCTTTCCATCTCTCCCTCCCTCCCCACAGTATACAATATACAATAGGCGCATCTATGTGTGTGTTACTTAGGCGATCCCTCGTAGCCTGAGGATGATGGTCCTCCAAGTGTGGCATCCTGGGAGTGGGTCCATAGGTAACTGTGGAGCCCTATTCTTGGCCTGCCTGTTCTCCTGCAGTGAGAGCATCGAACAGCCATGTTTTTACTTGCCTATGAAATGTTAAGAGTGAGGGAGCAGATCCGATCTCCTTAGGCAGGGTGTTCCATAGCCAAGGGGCCACCACCGAGAAGGCCCTGTCTCTCATCCCCGAGGATGTAACTTACTTAGACGATCCCTCGTAGTCCGAGGATGATAGTCCTCCAAGTTCGGTGTCCTGGGGGTGGGTTCGTAGGTGGCTGTGGAGCCCTATTCTTGATCTGCATGTTCTCCCGCAGTGAGGGCATTGGTTTCCAGGTGGAAGGCGGTCCCAGTCAGGGTTGGCTTGATGCACCTTCCACTTGGCACATTTCTCTCTTTGCCCTCCATTCGTGCCTCTTCAAATTCTGCAGCACTGCTGGTCACAGCTGACCTCCAGCTGGAGCTCAAGGGCCAGGGCTTCCCAGTTCTCAGTGTCTATGCCAGAGTTTGTAAGGTTGGCTTTGAGCCCATCTTTAAATCTCTTTTCCTGCCCAGCAACATTCCGTTTTCCATTGTTGAGTTGCTCGGGGGGCTTCAGCCCCCCCCCCGAAATTCTCATGGTGGTTCGCGAAAAGGCCTTACTGATGCATTACTTAGACTGTTATGTTTATTCATATCATGATCTGATCACCATGCTCAATATATCCCATATGCATGGGGGTATTGGGGTAATGATACAAAAGGTTTGCTAGGGTAGACCCTCTTTCACTCAGACTCACCCCCCCCCATACTGTATACTGTGTATACAGTATGTAGTATACAATAAGTGTATATGAGTGTGGGGATATACAGTATATAGTATACAATGTGTGTATTTTAGTATATTGTATATAGAATACAATAAGTATATGTGTGTATACTATATACATATACTTATTGTATTCTATATACAATATACTAAAATACACACATTGTATACTATATACAATATACTGTATATCCCCACACTCATATACACTTATTGTATACTACATACTGTATACACACATATACACACCCATTGTATACTATATGCTATGTATATGCACACATATTGCATACTATATACTGTATATGTAGATACACATATATACACTTATTGTATACTATATACTGTATACTCTGAGTCCCCAGTGGTGCAGTGGGTTAAACCCCTGTGCCGGCAGGACTGAAGTCCGACAGGTCGCAGGTTCGAATCCGGGGAGAGGCAAATGAGCTCCCTCTATCAGCTCCAGCTCCTCATGCGGGGACATGAGAGAAGCCTCCCAAAAGGATGATAAAAACATCAAATCATCCAGGAGTCCCCTGGGCAACCCTGACACGGCAACCCCCCCCCAAACCAAATTCAGCCCCCCCCCCCAAAAAAAAAATCCTGGCTACGGGCCTGCCTCCAACATTCCCTTTTCCGTTCTTGAGTTCGGAGTAGAGCAATTGCTTTGGGAGACAGTGGTCGGGCATCCGGACAGCATGGCTGGTCCAGCGGAGTTCATGACGGAGGACCATCGCTTCAGTGCTGGTGGTCCTTGCTTCTTCCAGCACGCTGACGTTTGTCCACTTTTCTTCCCAAGAGATTTGCAGGATTTTTCGGAGGCAGCGCTGATGGAGTCGTTCCAGGAGTTGCATGTGACGTCTGTAGACAGTCCGCGTCTTGCAGATGTATAGCAGGGTTGGGAGGACAATAGCTTTATAGATAAGCACCTTGGTATCCCTACGAATGTTCCAGTCCTCAAACACTCTCTGCTTCATTCGGAAAAATGCTGCACTTGCAGAGCTCAGGCAGTGTTGAATTTCAGTGTCGATGTTGACTTTGGTGGAGAGGTGGCTGCCAAGGTAGCGGAAATGGTCAATATTTTCTAATGTTACACCATTTTGCTATATAGTATAATATATAGTGTATAATGTGTATATAGTGTATAATATATAGTATACACTATAGAATATATATGTGTGTGTACAGTATTTAGTATACACTATACAATAAGTTTATACATGTGTGTGCATATACAGTATATTGTATATAGTATACTATGTGTGTATATGTGTGTATACAGTATACAGTATACAATATAGTATACAATAAGTATATATATGTGTGTGTGCATTTACAGTATATAGTATACAATATGTGTTTGTGCATATATATATAGTACATAGTATATAGTATACAATCTGTATATACAGTATATAGTATACAATACGTATATATGAGTGTGTGCATGTACAGTATATTGTATATAGTATACAATGTGTGTATGTTAGTATACTGTATGTAGTATACAATAAGTATATATGTGTGCGTGTGCACATTTACAGTATATAATATACAATATGTGTGCATATATATATAGTACATAGTATATAGTATACAATGTGTATATACAATATATAGTATACAATAAGTATATATGAGTGTGTGCATGTACAGTATATTGTATATAGTATACAATGTGTGTATATTAGTATACTGTATGTAGTATACAATAAGTATATATGTGTGCGTGTGCACATTTACAGTATATAATATACAATATGTGTGTGTATATATATAGTACATAGTATATAGTATACAATGTGTTTATACAGTATATAGTATGCAATAAGTCTATATGAGTGTGTGCATATAGAGTATATCGTATATAGTATACAATTTGTGTGTTAGTATTCTGTATATAGTATAAAATAAGTATATATGTGTGTATACAGGTTTTTTTGTTGTGTCAGGAGCGACCTGAGACACTGCAAGTCACTTCTGGTGTGAGAGAATTGGCCGTCTGCAAGGACGTTGCCCAGGGGATTCCCGGATGATTTGATGTTTTATCATCCTTGTGGGAGGCTTCTCTCATGTCCCCGCATGAGGAGCTGGAGCTGACGGAGGGAGCTCATTTGCCTCTCCCCGGATTCGAACCTGCAACCTGTCGGTCTTCAGTCCTGCCGGCACAGTGGTTTAACCCACTGCACCACTGGGGGCTCAGAGTATACAGTATATAGTATACAATAAGTGTATATATGTGTATCTACATATACAGTATATAGTATGCAATATGTGTGCATATACATAGCATATAGTATACAATGTGTGTATATGTGTGTATACAGTATGTAGTACACAATATACACAATAAGTGTATATGAGTGTGGGGATATACAGTATATTGTATATAGTATACAATGTGTGTATTTTAGTATATTGTATATAGAATACAATAAGTATATGTGTGTATACAGTATATAGTATACATTATACAGTAAGTTTATGTGTGTGTATATATTCAGTATATAGGATACAATAAGTGTGTCTGCATATACAGTATATAGTATGCAATATGTGTATATGTGTGCATACAGTATATAGTATACAGTATATGTGTTCAGTATAAGTGTATATATGTGTCTATATACAGTATACAAACGATACAAAGAATACAATAAGTATATGTATGTATACAGTATATAGTATACAGTATACAATGTGTGTGTGTGTATATATATGTGTGGATGTGCAATATATAGTATACAGTATACAGTATACAATGTTTATATATGTGTGTGTGTACACAGTATATAGTCCATAGTGCCAACACTCTACCCAATCATATTTGGCCACCTATGATGATGAGTATAAAGTGTGTATGTATATATATATGTGTGTGTGTGTACATACAGTATACAGTGTTTATATGTATATGTGTGTAAACAGTATATGTCTGGCATAGACACCGAGAAATGGGAAGCCCTGGTCCTTGAGCGCTCCAGCTGGACATCAGCTGTGACCAGCAGTGCTGTAGAATTTGAAGAGGCATGAATGGAGGGTGAAAGAGAGAAATGTGCCAAGAGGAAGGCACGTCAAGCCAACCCCGACCGGGACCGCCTTCCACCTGGAAAACGATGCCCTCACTGCAGGAGAACCGGCAGGTCAATAATAGGGCTCCACAATCACCTACGGACCCACTGCCAGTACACTGACCTTGAGGGACAATCTTACTCGGACAATGAGGTATCGCCTAAGTATGGCAGCACACCCAAATATCTGGGAGTTACTCTGGATCATTCTCTGACCCACAAGAAGCACTGCCTGAATATCAAGCAAAAAGTGGGCACTAGAAACAATATCTTACGAAAGCTGACTGGCATAACCTGGGGATCACAACCAGACACAGTGAAGACATCTGCTCTTGCGCTATGCTACTCTGCTGTTGAGTATGCATACCCAGTGTGGAACACATCTCACCACGCTAAAACAGCGGATGTGGCTCTTAATGAGGCGTGCTGCATTATCACGGGGTGTCTGCGCCCTACACCACTGGAGAAATTACACTGTTTAGCTGGTATTGCACCGGGGAGTAGCAACCAATAGTGAAAGGACCAAGGCAGTGACATCTCCGGCTCACCCACCCCGTTTGGATATCAACCAGCACATCAACGACTTAAATCAAGAAATAGTTTTCTAAGATCTACAGAGACACTCGCTGGAACACCTCAGCAAGCGAGAGTCCAAAAGTGGCAGGCTCAAACCCAGAACCTCAATCAATGGCTGACACCAAATGAGAGACTCCCTCCTGGGCGACTTGGAAGGCGCTGAACAGACTGCGC